TAGTCACTTTTTACATTTACTGCATTGCTTCCAAATGAGCACTGTCTAGGGGCATGGCAAAAGTTAAACAGGTGGCCCACACACAGCTTTTATTATTGCCTCTAGAACAACCACAGTTTCTTGGAATGTTGTTGTCCCAGACAGATAAAATTTTGTGATTCTCTAGTGCAGAAATATTCTTGAATGACTTGTTGCCAAGGGTGCCCAAATCAAGAGTCAGGCCCCTTTGTAGTGATGACAAAAAGGATTAAGAATAACTGGCAGGAAGTCTGCTGGCTATACCTCTATAAATTTTTTACAATTTATGAAATGTCATAAAATATGCAAAGGATGCAAATGATAGAAAAATGTGCTAATTGATCACAAAGATAGTAGTTCACACTATTGGAAGTTCTGCTTATCACATTAGAAATCATTTACTAAAAAGCTCTTTCTAAATAATATAGAGCTGCAATAGCAGATAATGTTTAAAATCTAAGTTAAAAAATAAGTAAGGTAAGAATACATTCTTTAAAATGCTTTAAAAAAGATAGAAATACAGTTAACTGTGACACAACTGTGCCCTCAAGCTGACAATAAAAAATTGCATATTTTAAATAACAAAGAGGAAATAAGGCATAAGTAAGAATTGTTAAGCTAAAATTTTAGAAAGTCAGACAAAGCCTGGGAAATCTTGTGTGATGTTTTCCAAAGAAAGACAAGCACTGAATTGTTTAACTGTCTGGAGGCAGTGAGTTCCACAGTGTAGCTGCTGGCAAAAGAGGTGACGCATGAGACAACCTATACCATCTTGGCTTTAAGAAAGACAATGGTTTTAAATGATACAAGGTTTTGGACGTACTATAAAGATAAATGAAATTTTAAAAAAATTAAACAATAGCAAAATGGCATGACTTTGAAAAGTAAGAAGTGGATGTTTTAAAATAAATGTAGAAAACGAGAGAACCAGTAGACAATAAGTATGAAATACAGTTAGGAGAAATATTGCTCAAGACAGATGTTTCAAAGAATTTGATGACATTGACCTGGATCTTTTATAAAAATCAATTTATGGAAGACCAATAATTGTTTCCAATTCCATCTTCTTCCAATTACTCCCTTACTGTCTTCCACACTGTTAAGAGAGGTCTACTGTCTCCACAGTCTTTTGGAAAGGATGTTTTCATGGGTGTCTTTGAATGGGGAATTTTATTTTCTGAATTTACCAGGATATTAGAAATTGAGACCTACTGAACACAAAGAAATTGTGGAAACAGTTTTAGGCTTTTCTTAGGATACAGGTATGATGTATCCACACTAATTTGCATCAAATAAAAAGGTATTTAAAGACCAGTGCCCTGATAGATGAACACAATTCAGAGTGCACTGACAATGTTTCCTTGAATGGTAACAAAATGTTTGCAACCAACTTGCCAAGTTCGGCAAGTGAACAGCCCAACTTTATTACATCTTAGGCAGACGTCTTAGCCATTAAGCCATTAGCCATTATTTATCAGCACAAATATAACATAAATATAACAAAGGCAACAGTAAAAATATTGGGTTTCTGTCGTGATGGACTCTTGTGACGAGCCGATTGACAGATAATGGAAGCAGTTAGCTTCCTCCCATAATTGGGGCATACCAGGGGTTGTGACACTAAATATATACCTTTCTCCCTGGCTTCAGCTGATAAGGAGGAGGGCCTGTGGCTTAATGGCTAAGACGGCTGCCTAAGATGTAATAAAGCACAGGTTCGAATCCCAATGAGGGTATGGCTAGCTGATGAGAGCTAAATAGCTTGAAATAGATCTATACTAGTCTCCCTTTATTTATTTATCAGCACAAATATAGCACACACACACACACACACACACACACACACACATATATATGTTGACAGGAAACAGAAAGAAGAGGCTGCTTAAAGCTAGGTAGAGCAGAATTTTTGAAATTCTTTTCAATTTTTAATAGTTCTGTTCTAAATCACAGAAAAATATTAGAATATGAATGGAATTAAGAAGCTGGAAATATTCCAAACAATCTCTGCCATAGGGATGTATTGGTAGAATATTTCTGAAATGTGTTCGAGTGCTACTTAAAAGTTTGTGAAATCTTTTTGAATTTTTTGAATTTTTAATATTTCTGAAAATATGACATAAAATGTGATCTATTCTCCATACATGCCCTAATTCTAGATAAAGAGAACACACATAAGCAGATGAGTCAGAACATTGCAGTTGTTCTGTATGCCTGAAGCATTATGGAGGCTCCTTGTTATACATAAGTCTTACTTTTTTCTGGAGGACAGATCTGTTTTTATTTTTTATTTTAAAGAATGGTAGCATTCCCTACATTCGGTTTAAACTTGATTTGCCAAGCTGTCCATTGCTGGTTGTGTCCCAAACAGGTGCATTACAGCATCCTCCTCCTCCTCCTCCTCCCTGTTAGCCAACCTCTTGTTTGACATAGTTCTACCATTCTTTCATTATCTCCAGTCTCCCCACTATATTTTAAAGACAGCCATTTGGATTTTTATACCGGGAAAAATGGATGGGAGAAGAGCTACAGTTAGGGAAATGCATAAATTCTGCCCTTAAATTGTTCTGCAGTAAAGCTCTAAGCATAGGACTTCTTACAAGCCACTATTCCTATTCTAAAACTCTTAACACAAATGGTTAATTCTGAAAGTGGAAGTCTAATCTAGATATGTTAAATCAGAGAACACTAGAATGCAATATGAGTTAGAGCAAGTGTTGAGATTATGAGAGGTTTACTTTTTGAAAATTGCCATTTGCAAAGGTGTTAGTGAACCTTTACACATATGCTTTTCATTTGTGTATGTGTTTCTGTAAATAAATTTTGTTTTAAGAATGTATATATTGTCTGTTCTAATAACAACTGTTGATTATGTTAAAAATCAATTAAAACAGTAATTAAATGATACAAATGAATGCATAACATTGATAAGGAAACATTAAAATCCCTGGAAAAATAGTTAGGAATGGAATTTTTCTCCCAGATATTGATAATTTATTCCACTGGGTAGACGTCATAGAGGAAACTGTTGAATTTATTGTTGTCAAACATGGAGAAGACCCACAAATATCTATTAATGACCTGAATCGGGCAGGGAGGGCTGTACAAGAATGGGCATTTATGTAAGTGCTTGAGCTTGGGCTTAAACCATTTTATTTCTTATAATGCATGTAGCATTTCCAAATCTGAGAGGCTCCTGTGATGAAGTGTCTGTGGTTGCAGATATGCAGTCCACATGTTACAGCATAGCTGTATTATATGAACCTCACTTTTCTTTATTTGTAACAATTTTGATTTATGGAGTATCAACATGCATAAGCAGCATTCCTGTTCTTTCTTTGAAGTACTTGAAACAGTAGAAAGATTTTAGATTAATGAGACTTTTTAAAACATACAAGGATGTTGTAAACATTTAAAATATTGTCTTCATCAATATTCCTGAAAAACTTGAAGGAAAGGGTGGAAAAGACCTAGGAAGGTTAGGGTGAAGACATAACATTGAAGACATAACATAAAACATTGGTTTTTGCAGTCTGATTCAGTTAGTCTTCAGACTTATGACTATTGCACCATCCTCATGGTCATGTGATGAAAACTCAGATGCTTGGCAAATACAGCACTCTGGGATCATATAATCATCATTTGCAACCTTCCCAGCCAGCTTCCAATGAATCAACAAAATCAGTGGGGGAAATCAGATTTGCTAATGACTGCATCACTCACTCAACAACTGCAGTTATTCACTTAACAACTATAACAGAAAAGATTGTACGGCATAACTCACTTAACTATCTTGTTTAGCAACAGAAATTCTGATTCCCATTGTAGTCAAACCACAAGAACTATCTGTAGCCCTTTTTAAAAAATGTGTGGTATATTCTTAACATACTACCCAATTCATTTTTATTTACCATGACTTTGGTTGTGATACATTTTATTATTTGTATCACTTTTTAAGGAAGGAAATGTTTTGAAGAGACAAGGTATCGCGGAATTTAATTATTTATCAGAAATCAGTAGTTATTACATTTCCTTGTGTAATCTTATTGTTTACAGTGGGTTAAATATTTTAAATCAAACCCTTATCTCTGTGAATTCAATCAAGTGGTTTAATTCAGCTGTGAAAGTCAGATTCAGCAAGTGTGATAATGCTTTTGCTTTCTTTGGCATGATTTTTTCGGCCATAGGGATTGACTAAATAATCCAAGTTTTTTCATGATATGTTAATGTTACACCTGGAGTGCAGCCCTTGGTTTATTGCCATTCTCTTAACAAGCCAGTATATTAAGCAGGATTTGTACTTAGTTTACAGCCTGTTCATTTTTATTTTCATTTTTTAGCCTGAATGTTTCGGGGACTTGTGATAGTAGTCTGGTCACATCCTTCCTTTGAAAATTTGAGATGTTGAGGAGTTATAATTGCAAAATAGGCCTTTGAGTGTTGGAAATAACTGAGGGGGAAGTCAGCTTTCTGTGTTTGCCAAGCTCCCCCTCTTCCAATAATACCCAAGAGGATCAGGCAGTATGTCCTTCCCCAGCACTGTTTTTTTAAAAAAGAAATCCATCTTATTGTGCCATTTCAACCATCTAGTGAATGTATCTCTTTATTTTTACACTTCCTTTTTGAATTAGGGAGATTTTAAAATAGAATGTTTTTTTTATCCTCACTGAAGGCATTGGAAATTATACCAATTAAGTTTTGGAACTTTTGTTGTGAGCTAATTAGAAGGGAAAGCTCTGCCTAATGTTGTGAGTTCATGATGTATGCTTCTGAAATCCACTGTTGATCTTGAAATTCAAGGTGCCCTTTATGCTAGTTGTCCTAAACTTGGCACCTATTATGTCCTGATAGTATGATGCTAGAATTCTCAGCTACTGAAGATTGCCATCTCAAAATAACCAATTGGGAAAGCTTTGCTGTCTGCATAATGTAAAACTGAAAGTCTCTGCTTTTAATTACTGAAAATGTTTTATTATGTGCAGGAGGTGATGACGAGGGGGAAGAGAATGAAAGGTCTTGTCCTGCTGCCCCTGACAGTCTCTCTCTAGCATGTGATAAAGAGGATGAAGGCCCTTCTGATGGTGAGTGATTTTTCTAGATCTCATCCTAAATAATTGTAATATTCTTGGTAGTTTGGTTGTTTTCTAATGAACTGCATAAGAAGATTTTGTAGGATAATTTGAGAACAGTAAATTCTCAGAAAGCTTAATGCCCTGAAAAGTTTCTTACCTTTCCACGCTTGTTAAGGAACTGAAGAGCACTCTCTAGTGGCAGAAAAAGCATGGTGAAATGATAATATTTGAAATGATACATTTGCTTGTTTTGTGTTAAAATTAAAATAGGTTCCTTAGATGTCCTTCATAAGCAGAGAAATCAATGACTGAAATGTTTTTCTTTTTCTTTTTCTTGCAAATAGAAAATAGGATAAGATTAAATAATTTATTCTTAAGATTTTTCCAATTAATAAATTAGTGTGTACTTATTGAACAATAATTTTTAAAGGTTTAAACACTTTTCCCACCATTTTTAAAATAAAAACCATAATCAGTTGTAGTTTTATTTTAAGGAAAAATAATTCAGAGAATCATGGCTTACTATCTGTTATTAATAAGAATTGAGCAATGTTTGATAAATCACACATACATATAACTATCAATTTATATGAATTTGTTGCTCAAAAATTTAGATTGGCAAATGAGGGTTGTCGAGGGAAGTGGTGGTTTGCCATATATTAATCAAAACGTGTAACCTCTGTTTCAATTGTTGAATGAAAATATGCATGATATGCTTACATTTTACGTTATTCAGATTATTCCCTTTGGAATCATATATTGCATTTATGAGATAGAAAATTATGCCTATTGCAGGATGGGGATAACTCAGAGTGGTAAACCTTGTAACAGCCAGGCAAGCAGGATATTTACATTCTTCGAATTCGGTAGATTGTATAATGTTAACAATAAAAGTTTTCCTATTTTGAGTCCATCTTTGTTTTTATATTCTAAGAGTCAGTTAAATATCAGGAATAAAATAGCCTTTTAATAGCCTTTTTTAAATAAATGTATTTATTGGTATATTAGATTAGATGAAGTTTTAGACTTATTTTTCCCATAAGGCATTAAATAGAGTATAAACCTTTGTCTTTATCTGACAAATCTGGTGCTTGCGTTCCATTCTCCGTGTTTTATGGCAGTGGACATATTCAACACATTGAATACATATACAAAGAAACAAGCATGAGAAATGATTTTTTTCTGGTTTGTTTGAGACAAAAAATAGACAACTGCTTTTCTTTATGAAAGTAGAAAGTCAATTGCTGAACAATGTTGAAGCCTGAGCCCTAAGTATTACCAATACAAATGCATTAACTATTAATTTTAAGAAGCTTCCAAATACTATTATTAAGCTATGTTAATTATATTAATTTGAATATTTTACAAGTCTTTCATTTTGTAAAAAAAATCAAGATTACTTAAATTAACAAAATGCCTATTGAACAAGACAACAATCTTCTACTTATTATGTAGAAATTGAAATAAATGTTGAACAGAGAGATGAAGTTATCCATAATTAATTTGGGAAAGTAAAATAATTTTGGCCGAGTATCTCATAGCTATCAGTGTAGGCTGCAGGCAAGCATTAGCAAAATTATATGTATACTTCTTGCACAGATCCTATAAAGTTAATGGAATTTACCCGAAGAGTATAATATTTAGGCTATTTATGTTTCTCTCACATCTCATAAATATTGATATTTAATCTTTATATAAGTTTTTACTGATGTCTGTCCAATAAATCACTATGGTGTCTGTTAGTAGAGAAATGAATTCTATTTATAGCATGGAGGGTTCAGAAATAAATCCCCTTGAACACAATGGATATGTGAGTTTAAGATTAATTCTTTAATTCAGTCCTCCTTTCTCTCAATTAAATGCCTTAAGGAAATTCACATTTTAACCATGTAAACCCTCTTTTGAATGTAGTAGTGGATATTTGACAGATTCTTTATGACAGCATATACTTTTTCATATGCAAAATACTTAAAAGAGTTCCAGGTATTACATTTATAAGTTCTGTGGAAACATAGATTAATGATATATATATATAAAGATAAAAATGATGGGCACTGTTGTTTTAAATAGAAGTTTAGAAATTACAAGCAGTCAGTGGCAACCTTGATCAGTCATCTATAGCTAAATCTCTCTGCAAAGGTATAAAAACACATCTAAAGACAATCACCGGATAGTACTATATTGAAAGATCATTTTGACCATCAATGGAATAATTAAATGGGGAAGGGTCTCAAATTTCTTTTCTGTCAAACTGGTAACTGCTGTGTCTTTTTGACTGTGGTTCCCCCGGAGGGCATGAGTTAGAATTCCAATTTTTTTTTTGAATATAAAGTTGAACAATGCATCTGCTTTTTGCAACATGAATGCTGTTTCTGAAAAAGTTGATTTTTGACGTATACTTCTCTACATACATTTAAAGTCTGTGGCTGGCTCCCATTCTTTGTCTTGTAACAAATTATTTATTTGTCCCCTTCCCTCTCTAGTTCAAAAGTCCATTCAATTCCCCAATGGCTACCTAATTTTCCGGTTATTCCCCTCAAGCCATACGTGTTTTGATTTCTTTATGATTTATTAGGTACTGTAGAAAAGATGCATAAGTTACATCTTCTAATGAAATTCAGGCACACCTCAGTAATGCTTTGACTCAGTTGTCAGCAGCAATTAAATTTCTAGCAGGAAGAATAATACAGAGGCCCAGTCATCGTACAGAAATGAAAACAGAAAGAAGCTGCGAAGGTGAGAAAAACAGTTGTGAAGAAGCCACCTCAAATAAAACAAGATGTACAATTCTTAGCCAGCATACAGTTCCTGCCTGGCTCTTCTTTTATTGGCTATTGGTCTGATTGATAGGAAAATCATAACTTGCTATATGCTATGAGGCAGAGTTCACTTGTAGGTTATTGTAAACTGATAAAGGCTTAGATGGAGGTCTGATTTTCACACTGAACCCGGCTGTACCAGATTAATGGAATTTCAATGAGAAGCTGGACTAGTTGCAGCTTTGTCAGAAAAACTGATGGAGATTCTATAGTCACGACTGCTCATTAATACAAGTTGTCTGAAAGGTGTAGGGGCTTCTCTGTACAAAGGCTTAGGATAACTGATTTTTGAATAGGATTTTATTTATTTATTGATGACTAGTTTTCTTGTAAAACAAATGATGGCCTCTTCTATAGTACAACAGTGTTGCACATTTGTTAATATATTTGTGGCAATGAGTAGGCCTTGACCTGACAGTGTTCACCCTTGATAGAGTTGGAAATCAGAATAACAGGAGTATATTATTTTGTATATAAATCTTACTTGGCAAATATTGCTGTTTTTTAAGAGACTAAGTTGAAATGTGAACTATTTGCAATTAATGTTTGATCTTAATTTGGAAAAAAAGCTAGGGTACGGTAAAATCACTGGATTTTGTTTCTAGAAAGGTCATTCATACTACAATGCCTTAGTTCATTTTCATCCCAACACTATACTATAATATAGTAGGATGGAACATTATTATTTCAGAGAAGCGTTTTCGAGACTGTAGTATCTTGTGATTCATCCTGACTCTGATTTTTCTATTTTCCACTATGCTAGCTTTTTAAAAAATGCTAATTTTTGAAATACTTGTGTGTGGGCCTCCTCATAAGTCAGATGATAATAATTATACCCATGATTCAATCATGAACCTAATACGTTTATATGATTTCATGAAGAAAATTAGTACCAGAAATTGCATGGCTATTAGTCAGAATTCAGAGTTTATCCATGTACTTTGGAATGTTCAGATGTATGTGTTGGCATACAAATGAAAGAAAATCAATCTTTCTTTGCCCCAAATAATAGATAATACAATGACTTACTTCCAAGACTAATGGAATACTGAAGGGTCTATCTGACAGGAACCAGTAAACAGAGATGCAAGAAAGTAGATTTAAATAGCCCTCAATAATCTTTTCTACTTTATAGGAAGTTTTTATTATGTATGAGTGGAATGGAAATAGGACTACATGCCAAAAGATTAAAGAATTCATCCTTTTGATGAAATTTCTTTCTCCTTCACCAGAGTTTCTCCCTTTGTTCTGGTGTAACTTCGATGTAGACATCTTTCTCTGGTTATAGGCTTGAAGATAGATTTTAAAAAAATACTATGTGAGTATTTATAGTTATATTACATCATTATTTATTTATTCATAGGAATATAGGTAAGTGATAATAATCAGTTAATAGGTAAAATTTATGGTAGCCTACCATGTCAACTTGATTCCGCATCTTTCAAATTTTAAGCAGCTTAACTACCAGACATAATGGAAGGTGGAGGGGAAAAAAATCTAATGATTTTGTGATTCATTCTGAAGTGGGTTTTTTTGTTATGAATCAAAACTTGTCTACTTTTGTTTGAAGCTTAGAATGCTAATAAGTAGATGATTTAGGATTTAAAATAAACTCTTTAGCCTGAGTTCAACAATGGAAAATGGACGTTGAAAATTTGCCTGTCAGGGTAGTTGTCTCATTCAAAAATGGTGGCATATAAATATCCATACAGAGCAAAATAAAATCTATGCTTTATAAAAATCAGTTGTGACATACTACTTATGTCTTTCTTCATTAAAGCTTTTAGATCACATTAAAATACTAGTTTTACCAATGGCTAACTAACTGAAGTAAAATGATGTCTTTGACCTACTAACTTGTTTCATTTTTAAAATTTGGAAGGTTTTGAAGGAAGGATTTTAGTTCCCCAGCTATACATATATTTTATTAAGAAAAAGCTGTACAGTATACTTAGAAGAAATAGTGTGTATTTAAAAAGCTAGTTAAATACTTATACCTGATACTTTTATACTGAAATAAGAATTCTGATATGACTAACAACTATTTCACGATGATGAATAAAAAATCAAATGACAACAGAAGTAATAAGCATTGCAGATAATAAATCATCCTAGATTGCCCTATTGAAACACATGGTAAAAATGTAGTTCTTAATGGACATCTAAAAATGCAGGGGGGAAGAAACCAAT